CCTGCCGCTAATAGGGTGGGTGGAAAGTCATGAATTACATCTGCTAACTACAGCTGGCCATGGGTGAGATGAGGCACAACTAAGGACGCTTGCTCATAGCATAGTTTTGGGATTCTCAACTTTTTCCTTCATTCCCCAGATGGTTTCCATGTCGGTCCTCACCTATGTGAGCGCCTCTCGAGATCTCTCTTTCCTCGCAGGCCTGGAGATCGGGCACCCACGGCTTTTCCCCTTGCTCCAGCTGGGAGATCAGGTCAGGTTTGGGAATGGGCAATCCTGCGCAGAGGGTGAAATCAGACCAGATCAGGGTGCATGGATTATTGAGAAAGTGTCTGTCACAAAGGACATTTTGTGAGTGGAACTTGTCCTTGTGCTCTGCTGGGCTATCATGGAACCCAAGAGGACGAGAACATGATCACTGTGCCCCCTTGGGAGGAGCAGATGTCTGGGGAGGTGTGGGGAATTGTTACACCCTAACTAGGAGTTCCCAGGATCTGTATACTCTGGGGGCCTTGCTGACGCACACACAGCTCTGGAGTTAAACCCCTGCCTATTTTTAAACCTGCAGAGCCCACAGTCCACCCCATGGCTGGAGCTAGTCCCCAGAAGGGAGGTGAACAGGGATTCTGTACATCAATAAGAAACAACGCAGATAGGACAATCAACGACTTCTGCCCCCTTAAATGCTGGAGGGTGGGGATGGGTTAGCATGTCCTTTAGGTTTTGACACTGTGTCCCAATGAACGGGGTTTGGACATAAAAGTCTCTCTCACATGGCAGCTGTGTATTACGCAAAACATTCCCCTCTGATCTAACTAACCAGGGAAGAACCTGACCAGATTCAGATATGCAGACCCCATGGCTTCTAATAACCGAGGGGACGGGAATCCCTTACCCAGTGAGGTCACCGTCTCGTAATTCTCCTGCATGTCATCCCTGTAGAGGGCTCTCTGAGCGGGGTCCAGCAGAGCCCCCTGCCCCTGGGTGAAATACACAGCCACCTCCTCGTAGGTCACCGGCATCTGGAACAACAAAAGTCCCCCATAAGTTACGGGAAAGGGAAAAAAAATTGGAAGCTCTGGGAGAGCCAGAGTCACAGAATCCCACCCCCACCCTGTTCAGAGCAGCCAGGAGGCTTCAGGGGGTGGGAGAAGATGAGAGCTCCTTCCCCCTACCCCAGCAGACAGAGGAGGGCAGGAGCTTCTCTTTTACCATACTCCTACCAGACAGAGTGGGAAATGGTGCACGGAGCAGGGGACAAAGGACGGGAATCCCAATAGCTTCCCTTTGTATTTCACAGCAGCCTCTGGCCAGTGAGGTCAGGCTCCAACACTGGGAGTCTGCTCAGTTTTCCCAGCCCTGCCGAAGGGGGTGTTTCATTTCAGAAATGGGACCATGTCTCTCCCCTCCCTCCCCCGGCAATAAGTCTGTTCGGTAAATGAGGCCGAGGGTGAACCTGTCCCAGCAGATTTATCACACCCTGTCCTCTCCCTGCCGCATGCGGTGTGTTTCCTGCCCCTCCCCCTCCAAAACAACCCCCCTGCAGCTCCCTGAAAATCCCCTACCTGAGCTCGCTCCTACACAGCCATTTCTCACCCCTCTCTCATGGGAAGACGGGAGGATTTGGACCGCAACCTGGATGTGATTCTTCAGACTGTCAAGGCAAGAAGGGCAATTGGGGAGTTTACAGAAGGGGCTTGAGTCCACTTCACACCCCAACTCTCTCCAGGCTCTCTCCCTTACTCCTGTGAGAATTCTGTGCCACTGCCCATGGACAGAATTTATATCCCCCGTAGATGTATTTGTTTTCCAGCAGAAAAAGGACTTTCTGACGGGGAAGCAAAGGGAAGCCACAAAGCAGTCATGAGGCCCGACTCCAGCAGGATGTTTCTGGTGCCCAGGGCAGCCGGCAGAGAGGTCAATCACTGTGGGGTGGGTAGGGTGGTGCCTACCCTGCACCGGGCTCAGTTGCTAGTCCCGCCTGGGCTGGGGAGGACAGGACTTCCTATTCCCTGGCATGGCATGTGGGGCCGAGTCAGACCCACCCCCAGATTTCTCCCCTCCTTGCATGAAGCTAAGAAAACACATACACACCCCTCAGCTTCTTGCACTCATCTCTCCTCAGCTGCAGGAAGAGGGATGACTGTACAGGGAGCTGTTCCCCCATCGACCCAACCCCCTCACACCCAGACCCTCCTGCTGAGTCTCACCCTCCCCCGCACTCAGAACACTCCTGACAAGCCCCACTCCCCCTGCACCTGGACCACCACGACGAGCCACCTGCACTCGGATACCCACCCTACTGAACCCCACCCAGATGCACCTGGATTGCAAACCCTCCCCCAGCAGCTGCCACCTCCACATCCAGACCCCCGCTGCTGAGCTCTATCCCCCCCCACACAGACCCCCTCTGCTAAGCCGCAACCACCTTCACCTGGACCCCCCTGCAGAGTCCCATTACAGTTCCACCCAGAACCCCACAAGTCCCTGTGCACCCAAATCCCTCCACACCCAGATTCCCCACTGAGCCACACACACCCAGATTGATACACAGAGATCCCTTTCAACCCACACCTGGATTCCTCCCACACCAAGCCCCTCCGCACTTGGATCCTGCCTTGCTGAGCTTGCCTGCTCACACCTGGTGCACCTGGCATGGGGGGCAGGGCCCTGGGGGGGTTCTGGGGCAGGCCCGGTCCTTGCGCTGTGGCAGGGTTGGATGTGGCCTCATCGCTGAGTCCGTGTGCTGGAGGGGGGAGCTGCAGGGTGATCTCCCACCTCTGTGCACCAGTGGCCTGTGCTCCCCAATGCCCATGTTGGAGCTTCCCCATTTATTTGACAAAACCATATGCAGAAATTTAAAATACTGTGCACAGAAATTTTTATTTCTCGGTGCAGAATGCCCTCAGGAGCATCTCCCTGCAGACAGACGCTCTGGACTCTGCCATGCTGGGAAGACACTCGGTTAGTTCATTACCACCCAGGCCGGGCCCCTCCCAGCAGAACTAAACCCACCGGGGACACTTTTAAACTCTCCCAGAAACAGCATCTCTGAGCCGAATGCGAGAAAAAGAGCAGAACCAAAGGAGCCACTTTAGGGGAGTTCCCCTGACATGGGCCCCGAGGGCAGCACATCCCCCCACCCTCCAATCAGCGCAGTGAGTCAAGAGAGACAGGACCTGGCTTTTCCTCTCTCAGCCCCTCCCCTTGTTCCCAGAAGAGTCAGTCTGCTCCGGGGGTGGGGGGGTGCAGGGAACGGATCCGGGCAGAGCTGGGAACCTCCCTCCCCACTTCTTGCTCCTGCTGCCCCTCTCGGTCTGGTCACTCTCTGTTTCTTTCTACCACCTTCCCTCTCTCTGGGAGAACTGATTCTGCCCTATTTACATGGGCATTTGCTCTTCAGTAGATGGATCGGTTTCAACCTGGCTGTGTCACTGAGGGCAGCAGCTCTGGGACCCGCAGACCCACAGCGAGCCCCCTCCCCCGCCGGTACAAACTCACCAGCCGGGCCCTGAAAGGGCCCTTTGTGCAGAGGCATTTTCCTGCTGCCAGGCCTGAGCCCAAGCAGCGACGCTCCCCGAGCCGCCTCCCAGCTGCTCCTGGGTCCCAACGATAAACCCATCGCATGAAGTCCCCTGGCCCCAGGGGACCCCACATCCCCGGGCTCAGGCAGCTTCTCCCAGCATTAAGCAGGCATGTTGCATAGAAACTTGCAGCTTCCCTACAGGACAAACCGGGGCTCGGGCCGCTGGCTGATCAGCCCGTCTGTGGCAAACTTCTCTCCGCATTGGGCTGGCTAAGGCCTTGCTCTAACTTTCCTCCCTGGTCACAGGCTACCGGCACTGGTGCGAAATGTCTGGTTGTCTCAGCTGGCTGGGCCAGATTTGTAGGGGAGAGAGAGAGAGAGAGAGAGAGAGAAGGCAAAAGGATAGAGAATAAAAGGGGGAGGGAGGGTGGCATAATAGTTCAGACCAGTGGGAAGGAAACAGACACATGAGGGGAAGACTGGCAGCAGCACCTCAAGTGTCACATCTCAGGGGGAGTTCAGGATTTAGCCGAAGCTGAAGCAGTTGAGGATGTCTGCTGGTTCCCCTTGTCTGGTTTGCCCTGCTCAGCTTCCCTTTCAGGATCAGGATGATGAAAGCCCAACAGTGCCATGTGGGTCCCAGGAGACAGTGGGTGTGACACATACCCCAGAGTACAATCTGGACTGTTCAGTTGCTTAATTCTCCATCCCAGGGCATGTTTTACACTGCTGCCCTGTGTGAACAACAAACCCCTCCACTCTGCTCCCACACAGCCACCAGCCTTCACAGTCACTCCTGGCTGCACTGTACTGAGTGCGACTAGTCAGACAATCAGGAACTTACCGAACGACAAAGCAACATCAGCCAGTTTTCTACTCCCAGCCTTGCACCCCGGGAATGTGCATCTTGGACTGCTCAGTCTGTTCACTGCGCTGGACAAACTCAATCATTAGTTGGTCATCCCCACAAAGAGGTCAGATCAAGTCAAATCCCCCAAACACTTCAATGAAAACACACACATCCAGACAAAACACTACAACCAGTTTATTAACTGGAGCAAGGGGGTTTTCAGGGATTATAAGGGAGAAAGATGTAAAAGTTCAGAACTGGTTAAAAAAAAATACAACTTAAACATGCATTTTAAATTCTAAATATTACTAAACTAAGGAAGATGCGAAGCAAACAGGATTTCCCACCCCACCCGCTGTTGCAGGCAGTTCACAGTTCTGAGTACCCAGGCTGGATTTCCTTCCAGCCTTGGTCCGCCCTCCTCAGAACAAAGCCCCTGTTGCCTTTCAAGCCATCTTGTTGCCTTCTGTAAAGATGGGGGAGAGGTGAAAATGGAGGCAATTCTCCCTTGTTTTTATACCACTCTCCTCTTTGAGGTTCACCCCCCAGCTGAGGGACAGGCGACAATCAGTCTGTGGCCTGAGCATCCAGCCATCCTTCAGGTCAGGGGTTCTCAACCTTTTTCTTCTGACGCCCCCTTCTGCATCCTATAAAAATGCCAGGGCCCAAGAGGGGGAGAGGGGTGGAGGAGTGTGGGACACCGGGTCGGGGGACACCCTTGGGCATAGGCATAGTTTTACTTGTATTTGGAGGGGCGGGTAACGCTGGCGGGGCTCAAGCCAGCTCTGCACAACAGGGTCCAGGGAGGGCATGACCCTCCACCCCCTGACTCATTCAGGAGGCCACCCAGCCTGTCTGGGTTAGTGGGGGGATGCAACCAAAAAACATAACTCAGTAGGGGGGACTCAGCTCAAAAAGGTTGAAAAGTGCTCAAGATATGGGCAAGGGTGTAGCTAAGGGCTGTGTGCAGGCAGGGGGGTAGCTCAGGGTGTAGGCAGGGGGGTAGCTAGGGGTTGTGTGGTGGCAGGGGGTAGCTCAGGGTGCAGGCGGGGGGGTAGCTAGGGGCTGTGTATGGGCAGGGGGGTAGCTCAGGGTGCAGGCAGGGGGTAGCTAGGGGCTGTGTGCAGGCAGGGGGATAGCTTGAGGTGCAGGGAGTGGGTAGCTATGGGCTGTGTAGTGGCAGGGAGGCTCCCAGTACAACTCACAGCTTCAGGGGGCATTGGGGCTCCCAGCTTCAGCCTCCCCACTGCTCCTGGATTTGGAGATGCTGGGGGCCACGTTGGTTTCTGCCTCCCCACTGCTCCTGGCTTTGGGGATGGGGGAGCCTGCTGGCTTCAGCTCTGCGACACTCCCAGATGGGGCGGGGAGGCCCAGGAAAGTTGATAGGCACATTTTAACCAGACAATAATATTCAGCAGATGATGGCTTTTCCTATTATACCTTACAAGACATACTTTGTAGATTTCTCATTTTGTAAATGTGGTGACCATGCTAGTGTAGACCAGTGGCCCTCAAAGGTGTTTCATCACCCGCCCCCTTTGTGTCTGTGGTCATTTATACTCCCACCCTCACAAGCACATATATCGCCACCCAGCTCTAAAGGCAGAGTAGTTGCTGGCAATGTGCACAGCTCTGAAGGGCTCCAATAGCAGCACAGAAGTTAGGGTGGCCATGTGAAAAGTGATATTCCTCAATATCGCTGTTCACAGCAGACTTATCACCCCATTGTCACCCTTACTTCTGTGCTGCTGCTGCACCTGGGTTTGAGAGCCTGAGCATTTA